CCCCGCCCCCCTCCCTCCTCCATCCCACCTTGGCCTCTGCAGGGAGCACGGCCCCACACATAAATACGGACAGACAAGATAACAAAAATAGCATTAAGAGTATTCACAAATGAATTAAAAACTACTCGGATATGTACAGCAGAGCGCGGGCGGTATGTACACAGACAAGCCCGCCTGGACAGCTGGGTCTGCCGGTGGTGGTCTCCGAAGAACAAGGGGTTATTTTTTTTTTTGAAGCTAATTATTTCAGCTCAAAGCTCGGAGGTCCCGTGCCCCGGTGGCAGCAGGAGCAGCTTCGGGAGGGGAGGGGGGAAAGCCAGACACCTCTGCCACTGCACACACCCGTCACAGCCACGCCAGGGGACAGGGATCTGCCTGTGCTATGGGGCAGCGCCGGAGGGGCCAGCGGCTCCCACTGTCCCCAAAGAGGCTTCCCGGTGGCAGGGATGGCTCTCAGCCTCCCTTGGCTCACTTGCCCCATGGATCAGCCATGGTGAGGCTGATGCCACGGCTCTGCCTTCCCCTGCTGACACCCCGGTGAAGGGCAGGAGCATCGCTCCCCCCCTGCCCCTTCCGCCCCCCAACTCTCTATTCCTGCACTCGCTGGATGCTGTGGCCCCAGCTCTCTGCAGAGCCCCTCGTGCCAGGGCAGGGGCTGGGGAAAGCCCTTTCCCCCCTCGCCTGCCTCTTTCCTTTGCCAGCCCGGAGGAGCAGGCGTGGGGAGGGACACACACAGCCCCACAGCAACCTACATTCAGAGGGAGGAGGAGGAAGAGGAGGAAAATCCCTTCCAATCGGGCACAGCCCTGGGCCTGACACACCATCCTCACCCGAGACCCCCAGCAGCTGATGTCTGGGGAGAAAGGGGCTCAGAGGATGACATGAGGGCAGAGCTCCTCACCCCCAACCTCTGCCTCTTCCTCCCAGCTCCCCCCAAAACACAGGGATGAGCTCTGCCTGGAGGAAGCAGGGACAGGAATGGGATGCTGCAGGGAAGCTCCATCCCATTCTGCAGCCTGTCTCTTCCCGGGGCCTGAGCGTGCCGGAGACGGGGACACGGAGCCTCAACCCTTGCTCTGGCTGGGGAACCTTATATTAGTGACACATCTACACACACGCACGCACTCACACATGCAAAAATAAGTCTGTTTATTCAAAGTGATCTAGAAGACCCTGCAGGGCTGGGACACCTTCTAGCCAGTACTCCCCACCCCCCCGGGGCTGCCTTGGATCTCCCCGGCGCTGGGAGCTGTTGGCTGAAGTGCTGCATTGGTCTCGGCGCCTTTAGAAGACAACGGAACGGTAAATAAGAGGGGCTACGATAAAAGGAGCTGGCGGCACGAAGGAGAAAGCTCCGTGGTGGAGCGGGGCGCTGGCCCGGGAGGCGGGGGGGCTGCCCACCCCCCCGCGGCGGTGACGGTGCTCGGGAGCGGAGTGTAGTGGATGTGGCGGTGAAGGCGCAGCCGTCCTGGCGACGGGGGGGGGACACACTCGGCGGCGGGGGTCACTTGCGGCTCAGCAGGGATCCCAGCAGAAGCACTCCTGCCACCGTCGCCCCGGTCAGGAGCCATTTGTTGAAGGTCTCCTGGCCCTTCCTCACCTCGGCAGCAGCATCATTCCCGTAGAGGTCCACAAACCGCTCCTGTGGGAAGAGAGGAGCAGTGAGTAGAGGGGTGAAAGAGCAGCACAGAGACCATCTCTGCCACTTTTGGGGGCTCCTTCCTCCTCTGTGGGAAGGGGGCAGGAAGGCTGCCGGGCTCCCGCTGGCAGGAAAGCGGTGGTGGGGACCAGGCAGATGACAGACGCCTTGTGCTTCCTCGCTCTGAATCACACACAGAGGGCGATGGGGGAAGTACAGGACCAGTCATGAGAGAAGTGGATGCCAGAAAGGATTTGCAAGGAGAATACAAGGCGGGCAGGGCAGGAGATGCATCACGTGCTCTAGGCTCTCTAAAATTAGCATTGAAGTGTGATAGAAATCATTGCAGCAGGAAAACGCTGGGCTTTATTCCATGGCCGAGGCCTTGGGGAGCAGAAGCAGGGTTGGTGCCCGTGGTTGTGGCAGGAGCCCACACCTCACACCCCCCTCACTTTTTTTGGGTCCAAAGCAGAGCCTCCCGCCTCCCTCTCCCCCCAGCAAGACAAGCACTCCCCCGTCCTGGCCATCACAGGTTACTCTGAGCCACGATCTGGATTTTGTGAATCCCTGTGGCAAAGGCAGACACTGTGGGACACGAAACTCCTGCCTTCCCCCCAGCTTTGGGAGAATGGGCCAAACACGAGGCCCAGCCAGGAATGCAGTCGCTCCGGCCCAGCTCGTCCGAGCCGGCTGCCTCCGGTCCTTCATCACCGGCAGCAGCAAGAGCCGGGCAGATTTCAGCAGAACCACTGCCCAGCAAACAGCCACAGCCCCTCTCCCTCCAAGGGAGGCTTGTGATGGGGCTGGGGACACATCACCACGTCTGGGACAGGGGGAGATGGAGAGCAGAGAGAGAAGACAACCACCAGAGCTGAACTGCTCCTGAGAACAGGCTCTTAGAGAGCACATCTGCCCCCTGCACCCATGATGCCACCCAGGTGCCACCTTGCCACCCAGGGGTGGCATCATGCCATGCAGCACCCCTATGGCACGATGCCACCCCTCCTGCTCCCCTGGGCACCCAGGGACCTCAGGCCACTGTGAGAAGAGCTCCTCAGGTCCCTGGGCCACACGCACCACAGGGAAGGAGAGGTCCACGGGCAGGCTACGTGAAGCAGAGAACTTTACGCCCCAGCAGCTCCCAGGTTTATCAGGGCCGAGCAGGAGCACTGGGGCTGGAGGGAGCTGGAGCTGCATGTTGGGGCTCAGGGATCGCCAGGTTCAGAGCACTGGACACCTCGGCGTCAGAAGGGGCTCGATGCTGTCGCACCTCGAGCCCATCTTCCCGGCAAGGTCCCCTGTTCCCTGATAAGTGAACGCAGTTCCAGTAACCCGGCTGCTCTGGGAAAGCAGAGATAAGCCCAGCTGACGCCGTGCTTGTGTCATGCCTTACCACGGCCTCCCCGGAGGCAGGGGCAGCATCCCTGGGTCTGGCAGCTCTGCCTGCAAGCT